GAGCATTACCGACATTCCGTTACCATTCCATTTCTTTGTGGAAATATAGCCAAACGATAGTCTAATGAGGTTGTTACATATCCGGTTTAAATTTAAATATTTCCTAATTATCTGTTTACTGTGTGTCATGTTTTATTTATCCTCCCTCCGATAGCTAGGACTTTCAAATGAACTCTAGTGTTTTCAAATATTAATAGAATAAATGACTTAACTACGCATTAAAACAAGTTAAGTCAAAACATTTTGAAAAATTCATTATAAAAAACAAGTTAAGGAGGTCATCAAAACAGTTGGTTATTATACTCAATTGTCGTCGTTGTTAGGATTATTACTTATTATTATGTCAATTTAAAAATTTAACATTTACAATGATTGATATATGTATATGTTTGTGGGTGAAGGTAAGTAGGAAGTTGAAACACATTATATCATAGCATGTTTTGGAATAAATATATATATATATATATCTTTTTTCGTTCTAAATATAGGAGCTAATTAATTAATTAACATGATCAAAAAATTAATTAAATTAGTGTTTTTTTTATAAAATGTGTGTTATCTCTCCTAAAATATCCTTTCATGTAATCATTTACTCCTTTCATGTTTTACATATAGTTAGGCACCTGTAGCTACTTCTTGGAAATTAAGAAGAGATGAATTGATGTTGTTTTAAAATACATAAACAAATTCTTTACCAAAAAAATAAATAAATTTTACACTTTACTTAGAATGCATCATCTTTTAGAATATACATCACTTGTAAATGCAATATCTTTCCTTACTCATAAAAAATTATAAAAAGATAATATTTGAAAAATAATAATTAATAATCTACTTTTTCTTGCAGAGTGACTTATGGTTATAAAATGATCATCAATTTTTTATTGTAAAAAATGACTCATACAGGAATAACATAGAATAAGTTGAAATATTATCAATGTAACTTATATATCATGCAAGAATATACTATAAAGATAGTTAAAAAAAAAGAATAAATATAAGAGATAAAGAATAGTACTGCATTTAAAATCAAAACAAGCTCTAGGATTAAAATGCAATATAAAATGCTTGGAAAGTATCTATAAGTAAGCAAATATTTAATGCAAGCATGTAGATAATGCGAAATTTGAATTAAGCTTCCCACTTTTGAACAATTACTTAAGACGTTTCACTTTAAAATGGGAAAGAATGGGAAATCCCAGCTCTGAATTGGAGAAAGAGTGGGGCCCGCAATCCAAATGTTTCACTGTGCAGTAGGACCATAGGTGTGATCCGAGGCCTTGTCGAATTGACATTCCTGCCCTGCCACGTCCAATAATTCGCCGACACAAAAGAGACGTCAACGTCCCCATTTGACATTAGATCTGACGCCTTACGTGTTCCCACGTGTCATGCCCTTAAAAGTTCCTCATTGCCGTATCAAGCCGCAGAGTGCAAAGCACGTTGTCACTCGTTTTTGCTTTTCCCCGGGTGGAGGATGCCACGTTGATTATTTTTTTTATTTTTCAAGGTATTTCTACGGCCAAACAGCCAAGAATTGAAAACTAATCTCACTAGAAATTTAAATATCATTTAAATAATTATATTTTTAAATAATATTCTTCACACACATTTTAAGAGCTTATTTCTTAATAAATACTCCTCCGTTTCTTATATATATATATAAATATTTTTTAAAAGTTTATTTATTACCCTTAATTATAAGGGAATGTTATGATATTTTTGAGTAATTATATATTTTTTCCTTGTCTTGAAAATTGAGAAGAGATGTGTGCTCTATCCATAATCACCATGATATCAATTGACATTATTAAAAGTAAAATTTAAAAATTATTGTGATTTAATAAATTTTTAACTAAATAACAATTTTTTTATTAACATACTTAATTTAGTTAAAAACACCTTTTATATTGAGATGCAATCTTTCATTTTAGATTATAAGACATATTTGGATGTCAATCAGTGTCTTAAAATATAAATTGTTTTAATAAAAATAATATTTTATTAAGTATACTCGTTCAAATGTTATCCTTCTCCCATTGCTGCTTTTATTTCTATTTATTTAATGTGTCATGAATAAATAATGTTATGTTAAATGAAAGGTATTTTAAAAATTTATATAATTTTTTTAAATAAGGTTATAAGATATATTTGATAATCTTTGTTAGCATGCATAATTTTATTTAAAATTATCTTATAAATTAAAATGAAGATGATAACTCTTAATATGCTGTTCATCTTTGACTGTGTGTGTGTGTGTTGTGTAGAGATTTGAGCCCCTAATATACCAGTTTCATCATACTTTTGTCATTTCTTTTTCTTTATTTTTTTTTGGTTTTGTTTTGGAGAGATATAATTACACTCATACTCATCCATTACAATTTTGTTTACGAAGAAGAAAAATTCAGAGAGACAAAAGTTTAATTTCAAGGGGTGATTGATGCCATTGCAAATTATGATACTAAGCTACATCACGCCTTTATCGCTTAAATCAACAATACTTATCCATTTCTTTCTTTCTCTCTTTCTTTCTTTTTGCCAATAATACTTATCCACTTCAATAATTATAAAATATGGTGCTTCTTATTAGAAGTTAAAAATAATTATATGTTTGAATAAAAAACAAAATTTATCAATAAATATACATATGAATGACGTACGAAAAATTAATTTTTTTAGCATGGAGTCTTAAAATTTAAATATCATAAAAAATAGAAGTTTGAGAGTTTTGTGAAAAAATATAGAGAAAATATGACTGTCGATATCTATAATTTTAATGTCTTTGATATTAATTTCTATATTTTTATATTGTTTTAAGTCTCTTGAGTTTTACATATATGCAATGTTAGTTTCTATATTTTTAAATGTGATTATAAGGACTTACTAGTTACTAACTTGTGCAGTAACTCTATTATTTCTTGTTTTAACTTGTTAAAATTATAATGAGTTATGTAAAATATTAGCATATATAAGACCAAAACAAAAAAAGCATGACATTAAATCAAAATCATTAAATGCACAATTGGTAAGCTTCCAAAAAAAGAAAACACATAGTTAGGGCAAATAAATAGAAAGATTAATAGTTACTTTATTTATATAAATAAAAAGATTAGTAGTCATTTTACTTATATAATATTCAACTCATCATAACTCTATTAACGGACAATAAAATGAAGCAGAGTTACATGCATATTAGCAAATTTAACTCTATCAATAATGATAAAGACTTAAGCTGCAAACATATGAAACTTATGAGATTTGGAACAACAAAATAAAGTATTAGAGACGGCAACGGACCTAGGAAATTTTGTTGGCGGGAGCAAAACTTATATCAAATCAATATTAATATTTTGAAATATAATTATAAATATTTATTAAATTAATGAGGAATAATTTCATTAAAATTAAACGCATAAGAAACAAGAAAACAACTATAAAATTATAATAACTTACAAAATAAAATTATCTTAATATAAGAAAAAATTTAGGAAAAATTAATCTTTTAGTCCTCTAACTTTTAAGTCACTTGTAACTCAGTCCCTCAATTATGACTCGTTGTGACTCAATCCTTAATTATAACTCGCCTATGACTCAATCTCTTAACTTTTGAATCACTTGCAAATTAGTCCCTTAATATTTATTAATTTTTTTTCATGTTTGCTTATATCTCACATTAATGAATAAGAAGATGATATTTTAAAATAATATATGAGCATTTTTTATCCCTCTTATTTGATAAAAAAATTTTAAAAAAATTAAAAAAAAGCACCGATTATAGGTAAATCAAAAGTTGAGGGACTAAGTTACAGCGAGCTATAGTTAAGGAACTGAATCGCATCGAGTTATAGTTGAGGGGCTAAGTTATAAGTGAGTTAAAAGTTGAAAGAATAAAAGATTAATTTTTTAAAAAATTTATATTAAAAATGATAGAATAAGTAGTAACTATCTAACATCATACTCTAGTACTTTTTTTTTTGGATAATTTACTCGGGTACTCTATTGATGAAAAGAGCTGTACACTTTTAAAATAAATATTTTTAATATAAACAATTGAAAAAAATTTTCTATTTTATTAGAAAATAAAGTTTAATATTTTATTTGAGAAGTTGAAAATATATTCAATAATATTTTATTATATTCTCATATTTACATAATATGAACTGACATTCCTTTTAATTTTTCACATTGATATCTCTATCTCCCACAAAATTAGCAATACAAATAATATTAACTACCTTAATTGAATGAGTGAGAAAAAGTTCTGGCAATGAGGTGAAGATAAAATTTTTTAAAAAATTAAGTGATGCAAGAGCAGTAGAAGAGGGGGGCAAATGAGAATTTTTTAGATGGGGTAAGTGAAATTTTCCACTATTATAACTAAGTGATCAAATTAGTGTTAGTAGGGGCAGCTGCCTCGTCTTAACTAGATGTAAGTTTGTTGTTAATTAGAGATTAATACCAAAACATGCTAGAAATAAAGTATCAATAGTTGTATTTAAAAAAAATTATAAATATTGAAATTGTTATAAATATTCTAGATATTCACTTGTAATCCTAAAAGGTAGAGTATACCGCATTACCACCATCGAGCTATATGTTTTAATTTTTAACTCTTTAGAGATATTTTCGTTGCCTAGCATTAATATCAATTCACACTTTTGTTTTTGGCCACTAACATCTACTCAACCTTATGAGAACTCATATCGATTCAAAACCTTGGATGAAAGGTCCAGTATAAAAATAAACATTAAATTAACAAGTGATTAAAAGGTCTTGCTTTTTTATTTTTGATCTAATGCTTTTCGCCAAGCACATTAGCCGGAGTCAAAGCCTAAAAAAGAAAGTCGGAGGGACAATCACGAGGGACAGTTTTTGAAATTAGTAGTAGTTAGTATCGGTATTCATTCTGGTCGCGTCGCACCCAATCGTAGCTCCGTTTTAATCCAATATATATATATATATATATATAGATCTGTGTGCATCTCTTCTCCATCTCTCTCGTTCTGCTCGTCGTATTTGAGAATTCTTACTCTGCTCAGTTCTTCTGGGGACACTCCTAATCTGTTTCTGGTACTCGCACTCAAAAATCGCCAGAGAAACCGAAAATGGAGATGTTCTACTATCTCGTGTTTGGCGCATTGGGTGCGGTGGTAGCAGCACTCGAGCTGAGCAAGACCAACAAAGATCGAGTCATCACATCTTCAGCATTCAATTCCTTCAAGAACAATTACCTTCTCGTTTATTCACTTATGATGGGTATATTCGTCATTTTTCAACATTAGATCTGTGTTCTTGCTCTATCTCTCTAGATCTTTCCCGAATCTGCTCGCTATTTGAATGTCTTTCTGTTTGTGCGCAGTTAGTGTCTTTGGATCTAGTCTTTCGGGGTTTTCTTGGTGATTCGGTTGGATTGGAATTGAAAACGTTCTTTTTTTCAAGATCCGAATCAATCCTAATTATTGTGATTTTTCTGATTGATCTCGTGCGATTTGGCAGCATTGTAGATTTTGTTTTTTTGCTGTTCGCTTTCTGAATTTAAGCGGATAGTACTATAGAGGTGTTTGGCTCTGCATGTCGTTTGTCTGGGAAATTTTCAGCTGTAAATTGCGAGAAGTGGCTTACCGACGAAAAGGAATTATTACAAAAGCTATCATTTATCTCTTCTTCCTGGCTTGCCCCCTTCGTCGTTAATTGATAAGGGATGCCATTTCCTTCCTCTATTAAATCTGGCTCTGTGTGATAGCTCTGGAATATCTTCTGGTCTTGTAGTTGTAATTGTAGTTGTTCTCGTTTGTTTTCGGAAATAAATTAATACAGTGAGCTTAATTATTTCCTTTGATCCTTAGTGTTCAATAATTCTTACCAAACTTAATTATCTTATCAAATTTGTTATTAATTATTCAAGGAGCTGATACTAAAAACTAGACTATTCACTGCAGCAGTTAATTTAGCTATTAAAATGAGTAAATCTAGTTCATTTATATGCGATGTGTTTGTCAAATTTTAGCTGCATGTCACTAATGAATTTGTATCTAGATAAAATGCTATTAATTAATGGAAAAACGTACACTGGAAACTGCTTGCAGAAATTGGCTTCTGATTTGTTCATAGGCGCTTATGTGCTCTTGCATTTGTTGAAAAGAAATGTTTGGAGTTACTGTTAAGTTTTTGTTAATCTAATAGGATGCTATTTCTATAACTATAGCTGGAGACTGGTTGCAAGGTCCATATGTCTACTACCTTTACAGTACATATGGATACGGTAAAGGGGAGATTGGCCAACTTTTCATTGCTGGTTTTGGGTCATCCATGCTGTTTGGAACCATTGTGGGATCTCTAGCTGACAAACAGTGAGATACTTTTCCCCGACTCATCTTGCTTTTTGCTGCATAAACTGTCATAACATTTCAGTGTATCATGTTTCTTATGTTGAAATCAGGGGACGGAAGAGGGCTTGTGTGACTTACTGTATAACTTACATCCTGAGCTGCATCACTAAACACTCACCGCAGTACAAAATCTTGATGTTGGGCCGTGTTTTGGGAGGTATTGCCACCTCATTACTGTTTTCAGCATTTGAGTCATGGCTTGTTGCGGAGCACAACAAGGTGAGTTATAACTATATGGCTTTAAAAGTATTTCTTTTGTTTGTTAAGAAATTTACCTTTAACAACATTATCATCAAACACCCAAAAAACTACATTAGCAGTGGGTATGTTGAAATGGGCAAACTGAAACACCCTATGTAATTGAAACTTCTATTGTCATAATTCAAAGTTATATTGACTACAATAGATGCTGAAGTCCATGTTTTATGAACCAGTTGTTGCATTTTAGCTATTGTCTTATTATCTTTGTTTTGCACCTTGTGCTGATGATTTTAATTGTGTTTACTTATCATCTGTCAGAGGGGCTTTGAACAACAATGGTTATCATTAACATTTGCAAAGGCTATATTTCTTGGAAATGGTCTCGTTGCTATTGTGTCTGGGCTCTTTGGAAATGTACTTGTTGATTCTTTGTCTCTTGGACCTGTGGCACCCTTTGATGCTGCTGCCTGCTTTCTTGCTGTTGGTATGGCCATTATATTATCATCATGGTCGGAAAATTATGGGGATCCTTCTGAGAACAAGGACTTGCTTACCCAGTTCAGGGGTGCTGCTGTGGCCATTGCTTCCGGTAGAATTCTCACTTCAGACATACGTGGCCCATTGTTTTTTTCTTTTTTTAACGATATTTCTATGTACATGGTATAATATAGAACTCTGAATTAACTTATTAAATCTACATTAGGAATGAATTGGTCATCTTTTAATCCTAGTTTAGTGTATAGTATGCCTGAAGCTGGGACTTGGGATCTTAAGTGAGAGTTCCCTCACAGGTCAAGTTCTGGACTCTTAACCTTTAGCAATTCCGTTTCTATCTGTATGGAATGCTTAATCTTTTAAATGGCTCCAGGACAGAAGAAATTGTAATTTGTAATTAGTACTTGGTATTGCTATCAACTCAGGTTGTCATGAAATTTGAATGGCTTTAGGTGAGAAGTTTGTTATTTGTATTTATCATGTTGCCATGAAGTTTTCTATAATATGAAGTTTTATGTGTATTTTTTTCAATTGCGAATTTCCTTTGTTTATTTATAGCTACGTTTTTCTGTTTCAGATGAGAAAATTGCCTTGTTAGGTGCCATACAGTCTCTCTTTGAAGGTTCAATGTATACCTTTGTGTTCCTATGGACTCCAGCTCTGAGCCCAAATGATGAAGAGATTCCTCATGGATTTATTTTTGCAACATTCATGTTATCTTCAATGTTGGGAAGCTCACTTGCATCTCGGTTGATGGCTCATCCATCCCCCAGAGTAGAGAGCTACATGCAGATTGTTTTTTTAATCTCTTCTGCATCACTAATCCTTCCCATTCTGACCAATGTATGATATTGTTTCAGTATGCTCTTTCTTTTATTTCCTCCTTTTTCAGTCCTTTTTTCTTAAGTAAAGATTTGAGTACATCTCATGCCTATTCTACCATGTTATGACTTGGTTGATGTGGAACAGTTCTTGGTAGCTCCTTCCAGGGTAAAAGGTGGAAGCATCTCATTCTCGGGCTGCATTCAGGTTCTTGGCTTCTGTGCTTTTGAGGCTTGTGTTGGCATATTCTGGCCATCTATTATGAAGATGAGATCGCAATATATTCCTGAGGAAGCCAGGAGCACCATCATGAACTTTTTCCGCATTCCTCTGAACATTTTTGTGTGCGTTGTGCTCTACAATGTATGTTTCACCCCCTGCTTAGATTTGAATTGCACAGATTACTTGAACTTGGAATTCAAACCTACTTTTATTTTGCTTAGTTTAAACTTGGAATTTGGTTATAACCCTGTTGATTCAATGTTAAGCTAAACGTGCCATTATCCACTGAACCTTGCAACTCTTTGTCGAACATTCAAGCCTTATTTTTCTAACATGGTACCCAGTAAGAAAAAAGCATAGTAAATTCTCCGTGCCATGCATGTGTAATTCTGACTTCTTATGTCTTGCCTGAGCAGGTTGATGCATTCCCTATCACTGTTATGTTTGGGATGTGCTCTATCTTCCTTTTTGTGGCATGTGTCTTGCAGAGGCGACTATTGGTGATTGCAGATAAGCCAAGTAAAAACTTTGCACTCCAATCTTGTTCATATTCTAGTAATTGTAGAATAATGGATTAGGCTGATTGCTCACATATTTCTGACCCTTCGGGTTTTGGGTCAAATAGTGATGAGAGAGAGAATCACCGTCTTGTGTCTGGCGTGCTGAGTACATGTTTGTAATAGAGTTGCAAACGTGATTTTGGGCTTCCTAAGGCAAAGCATCTCTCACAAGCTGTCTCAGAAAGTGCAAAATCACATTAGAGTGGCTAATACAAACATGCCAAGGCTCTTAAAGGTCGTGACACAGCTGGCACAGGTGATTATGGGAGCTGATTGTTATCTGAATAGGATGATAGAAGATATCCGCTTTTGGTTTAGTTTTTCCTAGGTTTCGTTGTAAAGGCTCAGGCTCCTCTTAGTGCTCTCTTCCTCTGCATTTAGTGCCATAAGATCTACCCTATGTACCACCGAACTTAGTCATTGGCCTTAATTGGAATTAAAATGCAAAAATGCGTTTGTTGTTTTTTGATAGAAAAGATGTTTTTGCTACATGAACTTTGAGAATTTCTTATGTGCGTATTCTTTTCTGATAATTTAACTTGTTTTAAACAGAAACAGAAGATTGGGAATTGAGGGAAAGGGACACCGAGTCAGAGCCCTTAAACATGTGAGAATGATGTTCTGTGGAAGGTTGGAGGCTCTGATTGACCAGATACTTCAGTCTACATATATTGGATCGTGTCTAAGCGCCATCAGGCGCTACTTGACTATGAAGGTACAGCTTATAAAAGAATACTGGTCTGCCCAAAAATGGGAAGGAGGGGACGAAAACTATAGGTTGAACAATTCCGTTGGTGCTTTTGGTAGAAATACTGTAGTGCAATAGATGTCTCTTGGCTATTACTCGAGGAGAAATCTCCATTTTGGTAGTTCTCATGTTTATTCTTTTGGGGGGCGGGATCTCCAGTTTGTCCCGTTGGGAATGGAATACTTGCCATGCTATTTCTTTCATCGTCTTATTTTTACTGTTGTAATGGGAGCTGAACTTACATTCTCCTAATGCATTCTCTTCTTCATCCTTATTTCCCCCAATAAAATCTGTAGCTGCATCAAGTACAAATCGAGCGCTACATTCACCAACGGAAAAAATAATAAAATCAGATGCTAGTGACTGGACTGGTTATAATGGTCTATACGGATTTACTTATGACTCGTTAGGGTGAATGTTAGCATATCCCTGTTGAGCGACAAAAGTTCTATTCCTACGCGCATCGTACGAAATCTGTTTGGTGCTGATAAATGATCACAGTTATGCATCCTTTCAGCAGCAAGGATACCACTGTCTGTGTCTTTACACTCATAACTGGAGCATGGTGCAACATTTGTAGCCGTCGTCACCGGATAATAAACCGAGACGCTTACAAAAATTTCAAGCCACCTAGGGGTTGTGTATACAGTGGCCGAAAGAGGGTAGCTGGCAAAGGTTATGCCCCCCAAGTTCTTAACCCAACAAACCCCCCGCCCCTCGCCCCCCACCTTTTTTTCCCTCAAAATTATGGAGGCGTTGTGCTTGTCTAGTCCCTCTAAAATTTACATGAACTTAATATACTACATATCTCTTCTAATCGCGACCCTCCTCATTTTTAAATTCTTGGCTTCACCCTTGTACATATAGTTGCAGAATTTACTCGTTTAGTAATGGTCTACAGAGCATATTTATGAATCATTTACATTCTACACACATCATATTTTATTGTTAGTTTTCATCCTAATGCGATATTCATAAAAGTAGAATCGTGATCACAAAATGTCCGCGATGTATCATGCATAAGCCCACGTAAACAAGATGATTTCCATGACCAGCTTTGAGTAAAGAATCGATACCCATTGTAATCATCGAACAGGCGCATAAATACATGATCAGATCAAAATATCAGTGTGTATGACAATAAAATTTTTAAAAAACTCATTCCTCATGCAATGCCAAAAAAAAAAAAAACCTAATTCATTTAATACACATACACGTGAAATTGTGAATATCTATTTCGCTGCTAGCTAAGCAGACAATCCATCGATCACCCCAACCCTCTGAAAGAAAACATCCAAGAATAAAAACTCCTGCATGCTAACTAGATAAAACACCTATATTCCAAACACGGAAGAATCAGGGAGGCAAGGCAAAGATGAGGAAAATATGAACCATTTTATAATCTACCTAGCACGGAGCAATGACAAAGTGGATCGAATCAAATTGCTCAGCTTGCCTCTCAAGCCACCAATAGTATTCTCTAGTGTATTACATGTCTTCTCAACAGGGAACTCGTTGGCCTGCAGCAATTGAAGCTGCCTCTCCAAGTACCTAATGAGGCTGGCATCAACAACGTTAATGAGACTGAATGAGGCATTGGTATGCATAAATCTAGTGAGAAGAAATCCGGCTAGAACATGCTGACCGGCCTTCACAAGCTCAGATATTAAATTAGGGAAAAGGATCCTTCTGAAAAGAAGCAACTCATTCCCATTATCATTGTTACTTTTAATCCCATTCTGAGCATGACCAGATAACAAAGCTGCTTGACATTGATGGGATAAGCTTCCAATCAAATAGCACACATAAGATAAGGTAGCACCATAGGTGGAGTCGGTGATGATAGAAGTAATGATCCCAGAAGATAAAACAAGAATTAAGAAGTCGTGGTCCCCACTGTGTTTTCTTGGTATGCCTTGCTTTAAGTTATGCTCTACTGCCCCTAGGCACTGCGACTGCAACGTTTTGTAAGGTAGCAACAACGTCATCTTCAAAGCATTAAAGCAATCCATGTCAAGTACTATCTGGCTCAAGCTTTTGGCTTCATCCTCATCAAGCAATATTCCATGAGATTTCACTAATGATCGATCAATCAGTCTCATCACGTCACTAATACTTGATTGGCTAATGAGTTTTTTGAAAATCTCTGTCCAACAAGCATGTAATGGGTGAACGGAAATTGGGTCCTCTTTCCTTTCCTTTGCAACATTTTCTACATCCTCAAGGCTCTCCCATCCCTCATCCCAATCATCATTGTTCCAGTCATTTCCTTCAGAGACTTGGGCGGTGGCTTCCCCATCTCTGCCAGGACTGAAGAGACCATCCCACTCTTCCAAAATAGCCAGCAAGGCATCAAAATGGATATCTGTACTGGCTTCACTGCACAATCTACGAAAGCAAGAAACAGCCGAATCCACATTCAAGAGATCATCAGGGGTAATTTCTATGCTGGGTGATATTGATGCCACAAGCTGAGATGACTTGAGAGCTACCAAAGTGTTTGTGAACCTACTAGAAGAGTCTTTCTGATCCAATATCCCCTCATCAACATCAGTCTTATTCTTTCTACTAGCATAAAGCAACTCATCCCATTCTTCCCATGGCACCACATTGGCTTGTATATCATCTGAGAAACCCTTAATATTTTTACTTGAGATGAACTGCAAAAGCTCTAGTACGTAAACTCTGAGGGAACTTGGTAACTGGAGATCATCAGAGAATCGGACCATTCTTTCCCAAATTACATGTCTGACACATTTCATAATTTTTACATCACCTTCTAGCTTGCTTAGAGATGACAGTATATGACACAATTTCTGGTTCTCATGGGATCCACTGATCAAATCGTGAAGAATGGGTTCCATAATATCTAAATAGAAACGGGGAAGACTCTGGGAACCTGTGCTGCAATCACTAGCTGAGCCAGTTAAATACTCGGATGATACAAGGGAAAAAACTTCTGCAACAGCTCCAAATCCACAACCAGAAAAAACCATAGCTCTGCAGAAATTATAAATTTCTACAGCCAAACCACCACTTAAACCACTGTTAGCATAGTCAAATAGGGTACCCCAGCCCTGACTAGGTGAGATGACATCTTCCATCACCAATCTCATTAAGACCTTCAGACAACTCATTAAGCATTCTGGATTAAAGCTCATAGTTACTCCTGTATTTTCCTCCACTACAATTTCCTTCATTTCTTCAGTTAACTTCATCCAAAAATTAAGAAGAATGATAAGGCAGTCTTGCCATGCTGAGTCATCAGGTAGATTTCTGTATGAACTGTTAAGAGACAATATAGCAGCAAAGTACTGCTTCATGATCCCCAAAGCATCAGAGTGACTCAGAAGTCCAATATACATCCGGCATAAATCATAGGTCTGTTCAAGCTTATTTATAAATCCTTGAAGGTATTCTGGAGTTCTAATACCAACATCAGTAGTAGCCCTAGTCTCCAAAGCTCTCAGCATATCCAGTATATAATACTTGTAAACATCTTGCCATGACATGAAATCCTGAGGTAATGCATCGTTAAAAAAATTGACAAAAGCCTCAACCATTTTTGCCAAAGCTGACAAACTATCGTTATCAATATGTGCATAAACTTCATTGCTGAAGCACTCGAAGTTCAAACCATGTAACCCAGCTATATTTTTGAAGTTCAGATTTTTAATAAAGGAAACATTTCTGCATTCCTTCTCAATGACCTTGTAATAATGAGCTAACCATATATTTCCATTTGCTTGATCATGGTGTATTGATTGCAATGATTCTTCAGTTTTATCCAGCTGCGTGTAGCACTCAGACAGCAGGTTGTACATATAAGCAAGGCGAAGCTTGTTGCACCCATCCACAGCAGGGTATACAATCATTGTGATGGTTTTGATGGTTTCAGCACCAGTAACAATTATTTCTCCTTTATAATTAGTAATTTCTGCTGTAATATCATCATTCATCCAAACATCAGAAACAAGGACAACACTTAGGTACTGCAGTAACACCTGAAAGGAACAGCAATAATAAGACCTAATCAATTCATGGATTTAAATAACCAATTAACCTTTTAAAAAAGCAGGCTTTTGAACATGTAAAAGCCCATCAAGCCCGAGACCACCTGAAGCATAACATTGGTCTATATCTACCTTACGCTGAAGCCTAACAATGATTTACACCAAAAATGGCAAGACTAAAGGGAGCAGGGAAAACTCTGAACTACCAGCTCAAAGAGGCTAAAGTATGCCTGCAAGCCCACTTACCTCAGTACGATTCAAGCCATATATATCAGCTAATTTTACCAAGTCTTTTAAAATGCCCTTTTTCTCAAACTTTACAGACTCGATGAGAGAGAGAACAACACCCTGAATATAGGTAGAGTCCCCAGACAAAAAGCGTTCTGTTTCAACCCCAGGAATTATTTTTTCCAGTGCTCTAGAGTGCTCAGTCAGATGCTTTTGCTCATCTAACTTGATTTTCCACTCCCTCCAAAATGAGGACTGTACTTTATCAATTTTATTCACATCATCTGCAAAACAAAATGAAAATGCAAACAATAATTTAGTAGTTATGTATACCAGCAAACTATGAAAAGAAAAGTTCAATTAAAATTTGCCCTGCATGGTTTAAAGATCATCTAACTCTTTGTGCTTTGTTTAGCAATCTCCTTGTTGAAAGTATGTTTCAATTATACATCAGACAACAGTTCTTTCAAGGCCAATATTAGGATTAAGCTTACATTTTGAAATTGAATTGTTTAATCAATACCAGCAATAGCCTTGTGCCCTCATAAGTCACAAGACTACAAAAATGTTCAAGATATAACTGAAATAGGCATGCAAGAATAAATTATTCATTGCTTTAACATTCGTGTGATTATGTTAGTTAAAATTTTGAAATAAAATACCACTTAGTGATTAAGTGGTAGTCGAACAAATCATGGGTGTTTAATGTAACTCGACCAAGAAAATGCAGAAGAAATGACCCTCAATCAATTTCAGCCTGATTAACAAATTACGCTTTTAAATGTAACAGCCTATATATAGATGGAATCCCAGAGCCAAATAGGTAAGATAAAAACAAAATGAATTAGAGAAATTAATAACCAGAAGTTGGTGGTGCATGCTTCTCTTTAAATCTCCTCTGCAGTAGCTCTCTCCTCTGTGCAGGGTTAGTTCCGATTGCAGAGTTATGCAGTAAGCTGTATGTCATCCCCACATTCACAATGCTAGAAAATTCTCGATAATCTTTTCTCATTCTGAGCTGCTCTTC